TTATACATATTCTGGTTTTTGTATTTTTCATTAATATTAAAATTCTGATTCTTTGTATTTTCCTTTTTTTGATTTTCTGATTTATGTATTTTTTGTTTATTGCTAAAATTCTGATTTTTGTATTTTTATTATTATTAATATTCTGATTTGTATTTTCTTTTTTAATCTTTGTTTCATCCATTTATTTCAGAAATTCTGGCTCCCATACAAAATCTCTATTCCTTAAAATCGCTATTCCTTAAAATCTCTACTAGGGTAAAAATGCTTAAAATCTCTATTCCTTAAAATAACTATTCCTTAAAATCTCTACTGGGGTAAAAATAATTAAAATCTCTACACCGTGCAAATGGACGGTAGAGTCTCAACAAAAGTGTAAAATATGAACTATTCATTGGAAAACCAAGACTTGGTAATGGATATGGATACAATTGATTTAAAAATGGCTGCGGATATCTGCTTGTATCCGCTGTAAATATCGAAGATATAATACACGACTGTCGCTGCGGTCGTGTTCATTTTGCTTGCGGTGATCGTATCGAAGCGGATGCTGTCGTTCCGCTGGACATGCCTGGGTTCATCCGCAGCGGCAAAAACTATACAAGCAAAATAATATCAAAAGATAAGCCAGAAATCAGAACAACGTTTCCACACTGAACGTTGGCACTCAAAAGGCTCCCGAATGAAAAAATAGACATTTTATCCTATTTTTGGCCATGTAGAGATTTTAAGGCATTTTACCCGTGTAAAGATTATAAGGAATAGAGATTTTAAGGAATAGTTATTTTAATCATTTTTAGCCGAGTAGAGATTTTAATGCATTTTAGCTGTGTAGAGATTATAAGGCATTTTAGCCCAGTAGAGATTTTAAGGAATAGAGATTTTAAGGGGATACGGAAATTCTGATTTATGTATTTTCTCTGTTCTTTGTGTTACTTTTCTTTCTGTATTTAATAATAAATTTATCTTAAAATAAAAATTGCAATTTTACAAAATTTTTGCCAATTTTTTTATTAAAAATATTAATTTGTTACGCTTCAAAAACCATTTACCTATTTTTATATTTCCTTTAAAATAAATTATTTAAATTAAAATATTTCTAAAAATAAAATTTAGAAAAAAAAACAAAAATTATTTTAATAAAATAATTATTCAAATCCCCGATAAAAATAAAAATAAATTTTTTTGTTATTGTCAACAACTTTTTACATTTTGTTTTTATTTTAAATCTTTTACTTTTTTTGGTTTAACAATGATTTTCATTTGTTTTAAAAACAGAATTTTATAATTCTGCTTTTGTTTCTAGTTTAGTTTTATTTATAAGGTTTTGTGTCTTTTTTTGTATTTTTTAAATTCTGATTTGTTTATTTTTGTAACTTTTGTTATTGTTATAGAACGAAAGAAAAAATACAAAAATTAGACAAATCAGAATATAAAAATACAAAATCAGAATTCTTAGTGAAAAATACAAAATTCTGATTTTTGTATTTCTTTTATAATTCTGATTTTTGTATTTCTTTTTATAATTCTGATTTTTGTATTTCTGTTATAATTCTGATTTTTGTATTTCTTTTTATAATTCTGATTTTTGTATTTCTATTATAATTCTGATTTTTGTATTTCTTTTTATAATTCTGATTTTTGTATTTCTTTTATAATTCTGATTTTTGTATTTCTATTATAATTCTGATTTTTGTATTTCTATTATAATTCTGATTTTTGTATTTCTTTTTATAATTCTGATTTTTGTATTTCTTTTATAATTCTGATTTTTGTATTTCTATTATAATTCTGATTTTTGTATTTCTTTTTATAATTCTGATTTTTGTATTTCTTTTGTTATTCTGATTTTTGTATTTTCTTTTATAATTCTGATTTTTGTATTTTCTTTTTATAATTCTGATTTTTGTATTTTCTTTTATAATTCCGATTTTTGTATTTTCTTTTTATAATTCTGATTTTTGTATTTTCTTTTATAATTCTGATTTTTGTATTTTCTTTTTATAATTCTGATTTTTGTATTTCTCTTATAATTCTGATTTTTGTATTTTCTTTTTATAATTCTGATGTGTTTTAATCCTGTATTTTATTAATTCTATTTTTTCCTATTTATACTTCCTATATTTATTCTGATTTTTATTTAAAGCCATTTTTGTTTGTATTTTCAGAAAATTATTGTAATTATCCAAAAATAAATATATTTTGCTAAAGGCAATACCATAAAAGCTTTGAGGCTTTTTTTTGTTGTAACAGCTACTATTTACATTATCCTCTCTCTCTTTGTTTGTTGGCATTTTGCTCTCTCCCTTTTTTTCAAAATAAAAAATTTTCAACTCAAATTTCTTCCATGCTTAATAAATTAAATGAAAAAAATGTTTTATTGATTTAGGGAATTAATTTAAATTTTTATAAAAATTAAAATTGTTAAATTAATTTAATGAAGCACAATTATTTTAATTAAACAAATTTGTATTTTTTGATAATTCTGATTTTTATTTATTTAAATACATATGTATTTTATTCTTTTTTTCTGATTTTATTTTTTTATTAAATTCTGGTTTTTGTATTTTTTATTATTTTTGTATTTTAGTTTATTCTCTTTAATTCTGGTTTATGTATTTTCGATTTTTAAATTTTCTGATTTTCTGGTTTTTCCTATTTCCTTTTTATTTTATTCCGAATCTTTGTATTTTCATTGTTTTTGTAATTCTGATTTAGTTATTCTTTTTAATTCTGATCTTTGTATTTTTGTATTTTATTCTTTTAAAATTCTGATTTTTTATTTATTGTTTTTCTGATGTATTTTCTAAAACCTCATGACTTTTTTTCTAATTCCAATTTAAGAAAAAACACTTTTAAATAATTTATTTTTTTTATCAAAGATTAAAATAATTAATTATACCTATTTATTTTTTAAAATTTAATCCTATAATATTTTCTTTTATTTTTTTTTAGTTTATTTTTTCATTAATCATTTATTTGTTTCTTTTTTTAAATTTTTCTTTCATTTTTCCATTTTTGGAGAAAAAATATTTATTTTTATGGAAACATTTTAAAATATGAGAAAAAATATTTTTAAATTAAAATTTTGGAATTTTATTTAGAATAATTTAAAATTAAAAGAATATTCTAAAAAATCCGCAAAATATTTATGCAAAAAAATTATCCGCAAAAATTAAAAAAATTATTATTCTTAATTTGCGTGTAAATATTAAAATGTCTCTAAATTTATTTTTAGCATTTTTCTCTTTTTTCAAGCCTTTTTCTGTAAATATAAAAAAGGAGTCAAATGCGAAAAAAGCTTAAAATTAAAAGAATAAATGAGGAAATATTTGTTACTATTTTAATATAAATTTATGCATTTTTTTTTTTATTCAGTTTTTAATAGAAAATGTTGTGCAAAATGACGCTCATTTAAAGTATTTTTATGTTATCTATGAATAATTTTGATTTTTGTATTTTTCCGTTTTTAATTAAAATTCTGATAATTGTATTTTTCTTTTATTTTCAGAATTTCAGAAATAAAAGAAAAAATACAAAAACAGAATATTTTTAAAATAATTCTGGTTTTTGTATTTCTAATAAAATATATTTATTTTGCCTACATTCTGTTCTTGTATATTTCTGTTTTTAATTAAAATTCTGATTTTTGTATTTTCTTTTCAGAATTTTTAAAGCAAAAGAAAAAAATACAAAAACAGAATATGTATGTATTTTTAAATAATTCTGGTTTTTGTATTTTTAGTAAAATACATATAATACTTATTATGCGTATATTCTGATTTTTGTATTTTCTTATTTTTATCCTTTGTATTTCAGTTTTTGCATTTTCTGTTTTATTCTTATAATCTCAATTTTGTTTTAAATTTATTTATTTTTAAAATTTATTTTCTCACACTTACTATTTCTGTTAGCAATTAGAATTTTTTCATAAATTTAGAAATTTATTTTAATTGTTAAATATTTAAATAATTAATGTGCAAAAAAATTTTTCTTTAATTTTTTAAATTTTATTTATAATTTTTTTAGTAAAAAAGTACAATATAGACACATGGATAGACACAAAAATGTGTTAAAAGAATGTCTAAAATATAAAATAAAAAAATAAATAAAATTCCCAATAGATTTAATTTCCAAAAATGTAAATTTATACTAATTGAAACTCTTTATAATTTATTTAAATAGAAAATCTAAACACATCTGTATTTTTTATTGTCCTTTTTTAATTTAAATTTTAATTTAATCATACTTTTCATTTAAAATATCTATTATTTTCAAATTATTCCATCTTTTTGTCTAAATCGAAAAAAGTCAGACTTCAGAACACACTTTTTTACACGCACCTTAAGGTATTTTTGGCTGACCATTTTGTACTTAAAATCAAAATCAGACCCTCATTGCGACATACAATTATTTCAACCCTAACTTTCTTCAAAATAATTAAGTCCGACTTTTTTCGGATAAATACTCTCTAATAATCGAATAAATTATATACTTCTAAGTAGTTTGAAAAATCGGCACAGAACTTAACGAAAAATTTCAAAACCGACTAGCCTCCCCCTCAATCTCTTCAATAAATAAACAAAAAATATATTTATTTAATTAGGCAATCCACTATATATCCACGTCTTATTCCTCCAATCCATTTACATTAATTAGATGGACTATGAGAGTAACTAATTTTATTTTTTATAAAAATAGTCAAATTCAACGAAGCAAAGTGAATTTAAACAAAAACAAAAATAAATTTAATTTTTATTTAAAAGTTGACAAAAAATAAGTAAATTTCTCCAACCTCCCATCTACTTTTGTTAATTATATGGGATTATTTTTTCTTTCAACAAAAAATTTACAATTTAACTAAAATATATTTTAAATTTATTTTTTAAAATTTCATTTGAAGGTCATTTCATATTTTAAAATTAATTTTTAGATTAAAAAAATATTTTTTCAATTCTTATATTTAAAATAACATAAACTACCAAATTTTATTATTTTAAATAATGTCTGGATTCTGTACAGATTTGGATGAGGAAAGTGTTAAGCAATCCCAAATATATTATACAGAGGTATTAAATTTAAATAAAAAATGAAAATAATTAAAAATTAATTAATTAAAATAATTAAAAATAAAATACAAAAAAATAATTTTATTATTTTCTTTATTACTCAAAATAATTTTAAAATTAATTAAAAAAATATTTTTTTCAATTTCAAGTTATTATCCTCCCTCTCGGAACGTTATGACTCTTTTCACAAAATAATTTATCAAACAATTTGTATTTTGGGGGTTATTGCTAATATTTGTGTTGTTGTTGTTTTATTAAGGTATTTAAAAATATTCTGATTTATTTAAGTATTTAATTAAAGGCCTACAATGAGAAAAAATCCTTTCAACCTTTTTCTGATTGGTATTGCAATTTGTGATATGTCGCTTATGGCTTCCTATTTTATTTACAAACAAGTAAAAGTTTATTTTAAATTCTGGTTTTTAAAAACCATTTCAGAATTTCTGTCAGAATTTTATAGCAAACAAATTAAACTTTGTTCAGAATTTGTTTTGAACATTGAATTTTTGGAACCAGAATTTGATAAAAACATTAAACAAATTTTAAAATCAGAATGCCTAAAAGTTGTTTTGAAACTTAATCAGAATTAAACTTAAAACATGTTTTAAAATCAGAATTTCTGTCAGAATTAAAAGATTAAACTTTGTTCAGAATTTATTTTGAACATGTTTTGGAACCAGAATTTAATAAAAACATTAAACAAATTTTAAAATCAGAATTGTTTTAAACTTGTTCTGAAAATTAGAATTAAACTTAACTTAAAAACATTTTTTAAATCAGAATTTTTTCAAAACAAATTCCAGCAAACAAAACTTGTTTCATAGATTAAAACTTTATTGCTAAAACTTGTTTCGGAAATATTTATTAAATAATTATTAAATTTTTCGTTAAATTTCCAATTACTAAAAGAACCTCAAAAAATTTTTCCCTAAATTTCCAATTAATTTTTAGATTGAACTTTGTCATCCACTTTATTTTACCTTTACTTGGATTGTGTTCACCTATTCTTATGCTCTTTTTTCCGTTTTATTTCACTCTGCTTCTCTTTGGATTACTGTTAATATGGCTGTTTTAAGGTGAATAAACTTTAGAATTTTATAAAAAAATATTTAACAAAAAATATATTTTTAAAGGTATCTTGTATTAAAAAGCAGCTCAAATTCGTCAAGAAATTGGCCTCGTTTAAATACTTACAAAGCTGCATCCTTTTCAATTGTTGCAGCGATATTAATAGCAGCTGTTGGTTCCGCGCCTAATATGCTTAGATATCAGGTAAAACATAAAACATTTTTAAAATCAGAATTTTATTTAAACATTTTTAAAATCAGAATTTTATTTAAACATTTTTAAAATCAGAATTTTATTTAAACATTTTTAAAATCAGAATTTTATTTAAACATTTTTAAAATCAGAATTTTATTTAAACATTTTTAAAATCAGAATTTTATTTAAACATTTTTAAAATCAGAATTTTATTTAAACATTTTTAAAATCAGAATTTTATTTAAACATTTTTAAAATCAGAATTTTATTTAAACATTTTTAAAATCAGAATTTTATTTAAACATTTTTAAAATCAGAATTTTATTTAAACATTTTTAAAATCAGAATTTTATTTAAACATTTTTAAAATCAGAATTTTATTTAAACATTTTTAAAATCAGAATTTTATTTAAACATTTTTAAAATCAGAATTTTATTTAAACATTTTTAAAATCAGAATTTTATTTAAACATTTTTAAAATCAGAATTTTATTTAAACATTTTTAAAATCAGAATTTTATTTAAACATTTTTAAAATCAGAATTTTATTTAAACATTTTTAAAATCAGAATTTTATTTAAACATTTTTAAAATCAGAATTTTATTTAAACATTTTTAAAATCAGAATTTTATTTAAACATTTTTAAAATCAGAATTTTATTTAAACATTTTTAAAATCAGAATTTTATTTAAACATTTTTAAAATCAGAATTTTATTTAAACATTTTTAAAATCAGAATTTTATTTAAACATTTTTAAAATCAGAATTTTATTTAAACATTTTTAAAATCAGAATTTTATTTAAACATTTTTAAAATCAGAATTTTATTTAAACATTTTTAAAATCAGAATTTTATTTAAACATTTTTAAAATCAGAATTTTATTTAAACATTTTTAAAATCAGAATTTTATTTAAACATTTTTAAAATCAGAATTTTATTTAAACATTTTTAAAATCAGAATTTTATTTAAACATTTTTAAAATCAGAATTTTATTTAAACATTTTTAAAATCAGAATTTTATTTAAACATTTTTAAAATCAGAATTTTATTTAAACATTTTTAAAATCAGAATTTTATTTAAACATTTTTAAAATCAGAATTTTATTTAAACATTTTTAAAATCAGAATTTTATTTAAACATTTTTAAAATCAGAATTTTATTTAAACATTTTTAAAATCAGAATTTTATTTAAACATTTTTAAAATCAGAATTTTATTTAAACATTTTTAAAATCAGAATTTTATTTAAACATTTTTAAAATCAGAATTTTATTTAAACATTTTTAAAATCAGAATTTTATTTAAACATTTTTAAAATCAGAATTTTATTTAAACATTTTTAAAATCAGAATTTTATTTAAACATTTTTAAAATCAGAATTTTATTTAAACATTTTTAAAATCAGAATTTTATTTAAACATTTTTAAAATCAGAATTTTATTTAAACATTTTTAAAATCAGAATTTTATTTAAACATTTTTAAAATCAGAATTTTATTTAAACATTTTTAAAATCAGAATTTTATTTAAACATTTTTAAAATCAGAATTTTATTTAAACATTTTTAAAATCAGAATTTTATTTAAACATTTTTAAAATCAGAATTTTATTTAAACATTTTTAAAATCAGAATTTTATTTAAACATTTTTAAAATCAGAATTTTATTTAAACATTTTTAAAATCAGAATTTTATTTAAACATTTTTAAAATCAGAATTTTATTTAAACATTTTTAAAATCAGAATTTTATTTAAACATTTTTAAAATCAGAATTTTATTTAAACATTTTTAAAATCAGAATTTTATTTAAACATTTTTAAAATCAGAATTTTATTTAAACATTTTTAAAATCAGAATTTTATTTAAACATTTTTAAAATCAGAATTTTATTTAAACATTTTTAAAATCAGAATTTTATTTAAACATTTTTAAAATCAGAATTTTATTTAAACATCAAGTACAACTTGTTTTGAAACAAACCAGAAATCAACCTAAAATAAACTTGTCATAATCAGAATTTAAACAAAACACTATTTGAATTATACTCTAATAAAAACACTAAATAAAAGCAGAATTTTAATAAACTTTAGAAATCAGAATTAAAATCAGAAAAATTTTTTCAACTAGACAGTGTTTTTAAAACACTTTATATTTAATTAAACTTGTTTTTATTGTTCAGATATTTTACAAGGGTGAATTACCCGCACCCGATGTTTGCAAGGCTAATGGTTCAAAGTTTGCCTCGTTTTACAAGGAACCTGATTCTGTATGTTCTTTAAATAAAATCAGAATTTATATGTGTTTCTAAATTTCAGAATGTATCTGCCTATATTTTAGCTCAACCAAGTTTTTGGAATTGTACTTGGGAGCGTTTTAGTTTTTGGATAGCTGGTAAATATTTTAATTAGATATTTTTAAGTAAAATATAAATAAATTAGGTCTTCTTCTAAAATTAGTGCCTTGCCTTTTATTAACTATTTTTATGACTTTACTTGTTCGAATGCTTGTTGAAGCACGTGAGAGAAGGTATTTAGGGATATGATGCTTCGTTTATTTAAAAATTTAATTTAGAAATCGCCTCCATAGTGGAAAACAATCAACACTTTCTTCTTTACCAACCCAAACTAATAATGGAAGAGACAAATCTGTTGGAAATGAAAAGGGTGCTTCTGGTAGTGGAAATTCTTCCAAAGTGCAAGCTGAAAGAACAACAGCAATGTTAACTGTAAGTTGCTGATTTTCTTTTTACTTTAAAAAATATGTTAATCAAAAATAATTTATAAGTATATATTTTTTAATTAACATTTTGCTTCACTTTTCGATAAACATTTTTTGCTTCCTCGAACATCGTTTCATTTTTAAAAATAAATTAAATTTTATTCACATTCAAGAAGTAATTAAGTTTTTATTAATACATCTTGATTAATTCTTTAAAGACCTTGCTTCATTTTCTAGAACTCTTTTGGTTTCGAATTTCTAGAAAGATTTTTGTTTCATTAAATTAATATTTGCCTCAATTTTTCTAAAAGTTAATTAATTTTTTAGATAATTGTTGCCGTTTTTCTCATTACCGAACTTCCACAAGGCATACTTGTTATTTGGATGGGTATTAAACCACAAGTATAGATTAATTAAAAAAAATTATTTTAATTTTGAAATTAAAGGTTCGCTTTGCAATGGCACAATTATCGAATATTCTAGATTTTCTCTCCTTGCTTAATTCTTCTGTTAATTTTTTACTTTATGCTACAATGTCCAATTTGTTTAGACACGAATTTTTACAGACTGTGAGAGAAAAAGAAAAATTTTTTTAATTTTCAAAATAATTTTTAAGTTTGGTCAATGCTGCCCCAAACGATTTTTTTCGTTATTTAATTCAAAGAAAAAACGTGGGGGCTCTACTGACAGATCTTCAATTCCTAATATTAATAATAAAAGTGGTGGGCGTAATAATGCTGCACATCGTGAAATACAAACAATGGCAATAAAATTAGTGAGGAAATATTTGTTTTTTTAAATTCTGAAAATGTTTTTATTAAATTCTGAAAATGTTTTTATAAATTAAAACATCTTCAGATTTGCAAATAAATCAGAAAAACATCAAAAATACAGGGGAAACAATTTTAGAAAAATCAGAAAAACAAAACATTAATTAAGCAAACAAATATTCTGAAATTTCAGAACATTTAAAACATGGGTAAAAATTGTATAGATTTCAGAAACAACTCTATGAAATTCTGATCTATAAATTTTGAAACATGTCAGAATTTTTCTGAAACATGTCAAAATTTTCAGAAAAACAATAAAAACACATGGGAAACAATTATCTATTTAAAGTAACAATTCTGAAATACAGATTTACTATTTAATTTCTTAATAAAATTGTTTTTTATAAAAATAAAATTTAAGGAATCACCCCCTTCCTCTTCTGGATCTGATGAAAGGTTAAATTCAGAACAAGAGAATCGAAGCGTAATTATCAACAATAATGTGAGAAATAATAATGTTTCTTCAAAATTATCTTTAGCTGGACAGGAAATAACAAGAATAGCACAAAAAAGCATTAATTGTATTTCATTAATATTTTTATATAATTTATTAAAAAAATATTTTTATTTAAAGATGCTTTTTCTTCTAATAATTTTTCTAATGGAGGAAATAAACAAAGAAAAATTTTAGTTACTTTAGACAGGGGAGATGATTCAACAACTTTACAATTTCAACAACAACCTTTAAATAACAACAACAACAAAACTTCCAACAATGTTTTACCGACGGTAAACATTTCATATTAACATATGTTTATCCGAACATGTTTGTAAACATTTACAAACATGTTTATTTATTATTCTGAAAATGTTTTGAATGTTTAATTCTGAATAATTTAATTCTGTTTTACTTTAATTCTGAACAAGTTTTATTATTGTTTAAATTTTGTTCTGAAATTAGTCAGAACTTGTTATTATTCTGAACAATTCTAATTTTAACCAAACAAGTTTAATTTAATCAGAAAAACATTAAATAAAAACATTTCTAGTTAAGACACAAACAACAAAAGAAACAATTTGACGAATCAGAATTATCCTTCAAATTAATAGTAAAATAAGAAGCGCAAAATATATTTATTCAATTAAATTTAAAGAAATGATTCGATCCTCAATTTAATATTTTTTTATTTTGCTCAATTTCTATTATTTTTTTTTTCTAGTTTATTAAAAAATTTTTTGAAAATTATTATTTTTCTGCCAATGTCACAAATACATGTAGTAACAAATAAAAATCATAGCATTTTTTAACTACAGAAATTGCCCATATTTGTATTGGAATTTGTGTTGCAAAAGCTACAACCTTTAATTTAACTTTATTTTATTTTTTAATAGTTTATTTTCCAACCAGAAGCAAATCGGTTATCTCCAAGCTAGTAACTGGCCATTCAATAGCCAAGGCTATAGTGTATCTAACGAATTTATATTTTAATTTTTCAATGTTAAAAAATAAAGTTGATATTTAAATGTTAGTTAAAAATTTATTTTAAATTTTAATTTTGCTTACATTATAAAGAAAATTATGTTGAAGATAAGCGATGCAATATCAAAACGCCAATGAACTTTATTAATTAAAATAATTAAAAACAATTAAAATGTTAAATATACTTTTAATGTAAATACGTTCAAAAGTGAGAAGACCATAAACTAGTAATAAAGCCATTATTAATGTAAGAATAGCAAATAAAGCAAAAATGTATAGCGTTGCTTGGTGCTTCACCTATTAATTATTTTCTTTTAGTAAAAACTTGAAGCTTTCTGGTTTTTAAAGGAGGTTTTATTCTGATTTTTTGACTAGATAATAAGATTTAATGTGGAATGTTCTAATTTTATTCTGATTTTGTTTTGATTTTATTCTGATTTTGTTTTGATTTTATTCTGATTTTTATTAATATTTAACTGTTGTCAAGCTTTATTTTATTCCAATTTTGTTTTTTGTATTTTTAATGTCTTAATGTAATATTTGTAGAAGATCAAGCTTTAGAATTTAATTTTTCATAATTATTTAATATTTATTTACAATTTTATTATAGTTCAACTCTGTTTTATCTAATTCAGTCCAAAACTTGAGACATCCATTGTCATATAAACGAAATGAAATTGTAATTAAAACAAGCAAGACATAAAAGATTTCAAGAATTGCAACAAAATGGCATCCTGTTCGAACCTTATTTTTAATTAAAAAATAATATCTTTTGAAAACTAACCAAGCAAGATGAAAGGCAACAAAGTGGTTCCATTGTCAGATAGCGTGGTTGAATTCTGAAACAATTTATTAAAATGTTTTAATTTTATTCTGATTTTTATTATTTAATTGTTGTCATGTTTTTCTGATTTAATTTGAACATGCTTATTTTTGACACAATTTCACATGTTTTAATAAAATTCTGATTTTCTAGAAAAACTTCAACAAACTTTTCTCTCATAGTCTGCTTTCTAACCGCACTAATATTGCTTCCCCTTCTGCTTCTCCTTCTGTAGATACGGCTAATTAATAAATTTATTTTTTTCTTTTTATCTTCAATCCATTCATTTAAATTATTCTCATCTGTCTGATTTGCTGATTTTTCTGATTTAATGCTTGTTGTAGGTAAAATAATTTGAACAACAGACTTTCGTTTGTTGGAATTTTCATAGATTTCTTTTTCCATTTTCTTTTAATTTATTAAAAACAAATCAAAAGAAACTACCGTATTTTCTCGATTAATTCCCCTCCCTCGAATAATTCCCCCTCTAGATTAATTCCCCATGCTAGAGTTGGGTTGAAACAATAATTCCCCAACCCAAGCACGTTCAAATGCCAAAACTCAAATAATTCCCCTCCCTCGATTAATTCCCCATACCAAGGAAGGGTTGAAAAAATAATTCCCCAGGGGAATTAATCGAGAAATACGGTATAGCAATACCATTAATATCAATGAAAACGTTTAAAAAATTTTTTTCATGGCACACTTAGTATTAATCGGATTTCTCTTTTCCCTACTGGAATTTTTTTTATTTTTTAATGTTCCTTATAAATTTTTTATTAGATAATTTCTTTTCATGTTGCCATTTAAATGGATATAATTATGTAAGTCTCCAATGGATTTTTAAAATTTTCTTTTTTTCTTTAACTTTAGTAATTCTAATATTAAAGTAATATTTGTAAAAATATGTTAACAATTTCTATTCGGTATACTTGAAATTAGAGTAGCTCCCCGAGCCTTCGGGGCCGTAAGTGTCGGGGATTGGGGTTTGCCGGAGAGAGCATGTGGGTTTCGGGGTCGGGTGTACTAGTACTTGAAATGCTAAAGGAAAGAAGTTTAGTAGTTGCTTCAATTGACTCATAAATCTTCATTGGATTTATAAACTAGACCAGAGTCAAAATTTAAAAAAAAATTAATATTTATTTTGCCAAAAATAAAAAAAGGTATTAAAAAGCAAATTAAAATTTAAAAATTGCAAAGATTAACATGTAATAGGGTTGTTGTAATTAGTGAGATTAAGAGATGAGGTTATTGGGATTGCCCCAAAATGAGAAATTTGGAAAATACACCGGTAAAATGAAAAGAAAAATTTAAAAAATATTTAAAGCAAAAAATATTGAAACTGAAAAAATAACGAAAATTATAAAAGAAATAACAAGGAAATATTTTAAAGAAAAATTCGAGATTGGATAAAATAAAAAAACTTTGCTTCAACCTTCAAAAAATAAAAATTAATATTTAATTTTCGATAAAATTTGCTTCAAGTTTTATATGAAACTTTCGTTATATTTTATTTATTAAAATTTTAATCAGCTTGATTCTTTTAGGAAAATAAAAGATTGAAGTATCATAAATAGGGTTGCCTTTTTCGAATCAGGCAGACGTTTGAGTCTTTTTCGGGTCAAAAATCGAAGCACGATTCGATCTTTTTGAACCGAACCGGGCCGGCACCCTAATCATACTTTCAAGTAAAAAGCATTAAAACTGAAACAAATTATCAAAACTGAAACAAATTATTTTGAAGCAAAGTTTTAGATTAACCGTGGGATTAAATATCTATAACAGAGATTTAAAAAAATAATAATTTTTATTTATTTATCATTGCCAAAAGGAAATGTAAGGGGACCTTCACCTTTCCGCCCAACCAAAAGGAACGTGTCCATACCTCCATCAACGCCTTTCACCTAAAATATTTTTTTTTTGAATTTTTTTAAATTTAAAAATTACTAGCCTGAATATGATCTCTATGTTCAAAATCATATCGGTCAATTAGCAAATTTTTTGTGTGGGCAGAAACTTGGATTCGATTTTTTACTCCAGTCTTAATTTTTAAAAAAAGTTTTTAAAATTAGCTTCAAGTCCAATTCTCTACCTGATACATTCTAGAAGCAATATTTACTGTATCCCCCCAAATATCATAATAAAGTTTGGTGGTACCAATAACACCTTTAAATTAAATAAATTTTATAATAAAATTTATTTATTGCCTGCAGTAACAGGGCCAATATTTAAACCAATTTTACATTCAAATTCGAAATTTAAGAGATCTGAAAATTATTATTTTTAATAAAAAATAATTAATTTTTAATTGCCTTGATTGAAGAAGGCTAATGCATTTTGTACAGCAATAGCAAATTCCATCAACTAAAAATAAATAAACTTTAATTTAAAGTTGGAAAATAAAAGTTTATTTTTTAAATTGTTTTTCTTTCCCATTAAGTAGTGTTGGACCCCGAACGCTCGGGGGCGGGTGTGTCGAGGTATTCCAATTGTTTCGGGGCGGGGTTCGGGTCGGGGTACGGGGTCGGGGCACAACTCTACCATTAAGTAATAAGTAAGTCTTAGAAAAAAAGTTTAGCAGAAATTAAGCAGAATTAGCAAAATTTATTGAAAATAATAATTGCTAGCAAATTGACATGGCGCAAAACTTGCAGAACAGAATTTTATGGACCCTAAGTTTGCAGTTAAAAATTTAAAAATTTCAAAAAATGAGATATTTTTGAAGCAAAAATGGAAATTGAGCAATTTCAAACAATTTAAACAAATTATGAAGCAGAAAAATTAGAAGCTTCAAAAGAAGCAATTTATAAAAATGAAGCAAAGTTTGCGATAAAAATAAAATTTGCCTGATATAAATGTTCATAGGGATGTAGTGATAACCGTCTTCTATCAGGATTCAATCCAGAAGCAGCCATATAACAAGGGCCTATTGTTTTAATTTTCTCAACATGTGTAAATTCAGAACGGTCGAGTAATTCTTTTTTGGAAAAAAATAAAATTATTTTTTTCCTAAATTTATTTTTACCATCAAAATCCCCAATAACTTCATTTAATACTCTAATAAATTCACGACCACCCTCATATGTTTCTTCATACATTTCATGCCAATTAGTTATTGAAGCAAACATTACTAGAAGAGAATTTAATTTTAAATATAAATTTTGATTTGAAAAATCAGAAAATTAATTAAAATATTTCCCGAAACAAAACACATTTTTAGCTCAGGTAGGTTTCTATTAATTTTAAGATGGGTTTCCGGAAAATTTACAATGGGGCTTTCCGGAAGGTTTTAAATTTATTCTACTTCTCCTTGTTGGAATTATAAATAAAACTCTTCACAAAAGTGACGGACTTGTATTTTTAGGAGCAGTATATATAAATATTCTCGAGGGAATACTTAACGTGTTTAAAAGAAGAGAGATAAAAATATATTCTATTTTTATCTCTCAGATATCCTAATTAGGCTGGCGGATCAGTATCAGAAAAAAAGGCCGGATATCCTAAATTCGGAAATCGGATCCAGATATCCAAAGATTTCCAACTATTCACCAACCTTAATTCTTAACAAAAAAACAAAATATATTTAATTTTTATTTATTCACCTGCCGTCAATTTGTGATTTTCACTATATTTTGTATTTGTTTTGAGTGATTCAACAGCATGTGGGGGAATTCTTTAAAAATATTTTTTTATAAATTCTTTTTAATTTCAAAAACAAACATATTATTGAGAAGCCAATCAGCCTGATCTCTAACTAATTGCATTTTGGCAGTATCTCTACGCGCCTGTACATCTCCATAGAAAGACATACGAAAGGCTGCTTCAAACTGGAAAATGACAAATATTTTAGAATAAAAATTATCAAAAAGTTGAAATAATTTAAAAGACACTTAACCCACCAAGTACTTAATGAAAAAAATTTATTCAATTTACTCAATATGAGGGAAATGAGGATCTTGATAATCAAAAAATTCTTTTTTTGATTATCAAAATTTAAATTAATAAGAGACAAAGCAATGCCTAGAGGAAAGTCAATAAGACATAGATATATACTTAATTTTCGTGCCTGTTATTTACCCCCGTGCCTGTTATTTACCTTTTTTTAACCTTTATCGCTATTTTATTCTATCGCCTTTCCAGATTATAAATGTAATAGGAAAAAATTATTTTGCCTGATAATTAAGAAAAGCAACTAAAACAACAGCCAAAACAACATCCAAAACCAATTCCCACAAAAATAAAGGAGATCCAAAATTTCCAGCAGACCAAACAGGTTGTTGGGAAGTATTGCAAGGCAACGGATGGGGTTGAATACTGTCATGGAAATATATTGAGGAAGAGGAATTTGAATTTTTGGAGGCTTCGATTAATGAATGGAAGGGGGATAATGATGTAGAATCTGCTCCGAGGGAGCGAATAAAGTCTAATTGGTGTTGACAAAACCTGTTGGGAATTTTTGAAAAATTAAAAAAAATATTTTAAATTTACCAGGTGCTTAACAAAAATACAAGTGCAACAGCCAATGCTTGCCCTGTCTTTGGCCAGGCACCGAGTTGACTGAAAATATTTATTAAAAAATAATATAATTTCTTAATTTTATTTTTTAAAAGACATTTGAATTTGCTTTTTTAAATTCAATTCTAAGAGTGTTTGTAAATTTTGAAGGGCAGAATTTTATTAAAAAAGTTGGAGAGAGAGAGACGTAACGTCAGACGTGTCTAAGACATGCCTCGTCTAGTCCCTGATCTCCTTCGTTTGATCCACACTTAATTCCACCCTCAGCTTAAATGTAACTCCTACATTGAATAGTGTTATTTTTGTCCACGACAAAATCGACAAGTCATGGAACAGAATGAAATAAAAAAGGAGGGAGAGAAGGGGGGAGGGTCTAAAAATTAAAATTTTTAACCAGAAAAATACCCAAACAAATATAATTTAAAAATTTCTACCTAAAATTGCAATGAGTGTATAAAGCCAATAATAAAACATAAGAATAAAGTAAACGAAGAACTAATTGACCAGGATGAATACAAATAATTGGAGCTTTTGGAGGTGGATAATAATAAATTATTTTATCCAAACATAGAGGAATATTAAATAAAGCAACGCCGACAGGCAAAGCAATTAATAATGCACCTTTAATTAATTTTATAGAAAAATATTTTTCAAATTATTTTAGTACCCAAAACATGTCTCGGACCCCACTGATGAAGCCATGGAAGGATTGGCCTCCGACTGAGTAAAGGTAAACCGACAAGTATAATTACAGCTAAAATACATTTAATTAATTGAATGATTAAATTGTACTTTTAAAAATTAAAAATCAGAAAGCAACAGAACAAGAAAAATCAGAATTATTAATAAAAACATAAGAGAAATAACAGCATATGAAAAATAAACAATCAAAAAAATTAAAAACCCTGAATTAAAAATAACAAAAGAAAATACAAAAATACATAGGAATTCAGGACGAACTAATAGAAACACTAAATCAGAATTATAAAATAAAAAAATCAGAATTATCATTGAAAACACAAGAAAACACAAAATAGAATATAGAAAAACACAAAATAGAAAACACAAAATAGATAATAACATAAGAAAACACACAGTAAACAAACAACAGAAAAAAAAATCAGAATTATTACATACTTAGAAAAAATAAAACACTAAACCCTAAATAAAAAATACAAATTAAACATCAAAATTATTAAGCACAACTAGTTATAAAATCAGAATTATTTAATATTAAATTTAAATAATTTAAATAATAATTTGAAGTAATTTTTTAAAGTAAAAAATTAAATTATTTTTTAACAATTTTCCAAAAAAATTTATTTACCAGTTAAGAATATCGCTGCCACCGAGATATAAACCAAAAAAGGAGGGAATAATTCAATTCCAGGCTGTACCAAAAATAGAATTGCACACACAACAAAAGAAAATGCGGAAACAAAAATATCAATAAAAACACCAGAATATCGATAACGGGGGCGGTGACGGTGGGGAATATTAATTAATAATTGTTGTTGTTGTTGGGGTTTTGTTGTTGTATTTTTGTTGTTGATATTTTTGTTTTGACGAAGTTGTTGGGAAAGTGCTGCTGTAACACTATGTCCACCACCCCCAATATTTTGTAATTGTGTGGATAACTTTGAAAATAAATTTTTAAATTAAAAATCAGAATTTTTTAAATTCACTTGTCTATGCTTCTCAATGCCCGTAGCTGCATTACGCGCACTAGAGTGCTTCTCAGAAGAGTCACCAGCCGCAAAATGGGCACGATATTCAGCTTCAATGTCTCTTTGGTTAAAATTTAGAGTCCATCGGTTTAATGACTTAAAATTAATTTTAAAATATTAAAAACACTTAAAATCAACAAAAAAGTTGATTAAAATAAAAATTATATATTCCTAAAAAATTGAAAAAATAAAATATCAGACATAAACCCTCTTTTCCCGCTACACACAGAAATTAAAATTGGGATAAAAATAAAACCAAGGTGAAAAACAAAGTCTAGATTTCCCCTCAGCAAGGACTGGAATTGACGACTATGTATGGATAAGCTTTAGTAGTCTATTGAAGTTTCGATATAACCAACTAGTTCAACCAGTCGGACAACCTAAGTTTCACGTATTTAAATTTAAACAACTATTCTCTAACTCAATCCCCACCTCTTGATGCATCCAAAACCCTTTGGCAAATGAACCATCTGCTGTATGAATAACTTGTGCCAAACGCTGATCGAAATCCCGATGGTCTGTATCAAATCTGGTAAGTGAAGCTGCGTTGTGATGATGTGATATTGCTGTATCTAGTCCGGCGAGGGAAGTGGTAGAGTGCCCACCAATTTCAGAGCCAAGTTCCTTTAAATTTTTAAATATTTAATGTCTCGTTAATTTTTAAATAAGAGAAAATAATGATGAATCTAAGACGATTTAAATTTTGAAAATATTCAAAAACACCTGTAATCCCGAACTTCTTGACCCCCTCCCACTATTATTTGCACTACTCTCATTTGCAAGATCTGCAGATATTTTACCACCTATACGTTCTGCTGTGCGCCAATCAACATAACTATTAGTTTTTGATTTATCTTCTTGTTTAGATTGATGCTAAAAAATGAATAAATTTAAGGAAGGAAGCAATCTTGAGGTTTTTTTCAATTGACAATCTCTTCAGGGTAGAAATACACAAATTTAAGATTTAAATTTTGACGACTAACTTTACAAAAAAAAAAGACTTAAAGGTTTGATTTTGGCTGTATTTTTGTGAAGAAACACGGTATACGGTAAATGTCCAGCTTGTCCCCTACAAGTCCGCTTATGACTTTCTGCAAAAAACTATCAGATCCTATCAGACCTGAGGAAAATTAAGGTAGAGAGCGGAAAAGAAAAGAATGCAGCGAAAAATGATTTTTGCAGAATGTCATTTGCGGACATGTAGGGGACGAGCTGGACATTAACCTCGTTATACTCCCCCAGCTAATATAACGAAGGTTTCACCTACAATAATTTATAAAATACTCACAATTTTCTCCTCTCCTCCTCCACCATTTTCTTTCAATTCTTTATTGCTAACCCCAATTTTCTCCTTTCTAATACCTTCTGATAAATCGCTTTCACTTGTTTTATTAGGAGGTGGAGTGCCTCCAATAATACTACGTGCAATTTTGCTGGAAGGAGTATTTGAAGGTGGAAGTATTCCATCTCCGTGAGTTAACATTTGTAAGGAGGTAGATTTACGTGTATCATCAACAAGACGATTCTTTAAATAATAAATTGAAGAAAAAATTTTGATAGAAATATAAGGTGAATTCTAGCAGGAAAGGCTAAAGGGCACTTTGATTCCTCCTTCCATTATTGCTACTTTCCCATTAAACATATTTGTACTGTTTTATTATCTATCCGCCCATTAATGTTCATTATATAATGTTTTCCATTCTTCCCATTAGATAGAGTTAGGCCTAACATTTATATGTATTATAGCGGTAACATTTATGCTTCGGTAAGCCTGAGGACCTGATCAACCCTCAGAGCTTTACCGATTAAGGTGAAAGGTATCCACTTAAGTTTTATAAAATAACCCGAATGGAAAGGCCCATGCCAGGGATGTCACGGGTTGAGAAAAATGTCGGGTCGGGTTTCGGGTCGGGTTTCCAAAATTTTTTTCGATCGGGTTTCGGGTCGAGCAAAAAGTCGGGTCGGGTTTCGGATCGGGTTTTCGAAATTTTCTTCGGATCGGGTTTCGGGTTTCGGGTCGAAAAAAGTGAGAATTTTGGAAGGTCAAAAAGCCAAAAATCTTCCCTTCTCAGCGCCGCAGGCGAAAATTTTGAGAATTTTGGAAGGTCTGAAGCCAGATTTCTTCCTTTTTCAGCGCCGCAGGCGAAAATTTTCAGAATTTTGGAAGATCATTAAGCTAAAAATCTTCCCTTTTTCTGCGACGCGGGCGAAAATTTTGAGAAAACTCGGGTCGGGTTTCGGGTCGGGTTTTGAAAAATAAAAATTCTCGGGTCGGGTTTCGGGTCGGGTTTTAGAAAATTTCTCGGATCGGGTTTCGGGTATCGGGTCGAAAAAAAGGCCGGGTTTCGGGTTTCGGGTATCGGGTTTCGGGTAACCCGTGACATCCCTGGCCCATGCTAGCACGCCTAAAAGTAAAAGGTGAATTTTAGAAATATGGCGCTCCGACTCGGGCACAGTGATCCATTTGCACAGTAAGACTTTTGCACAGAGGGCATCTGCACAGTGGACGATTGCACAGTAATTTGTGGTTAAGTGGATTCGTGTTAGGTTTTACTTATTGTTATAAGGGAATAAATGTTACTAATTATTAATACCTTTACTAAAAAATCTTAAATTGTATTAGAATTCATAAGAAAAATCTGTAAATCACATAAAGGATCAAATGAATAAAAAATCTAACTGAACATAATTATTGCCCCGAGTCTTAACAACATTTTTTAAACAAGGAAAAACTTTTTGGATATGTACCCCTTTTAAAAAATCTGATTTCTGATGCACTGTACTACCCCAACGCAGTTCGACTAGGCGTACTCAGTCAAGTGCGTGTCCAGCAAGAAATTTTTAAAAAAAGTGAAAAGTTGTTTATCTAATTAGCAGACTCAGGAATATAATTTATCATTAAAAATTAGTAAAAATTCATTTTTACAACAAATGCACTCTTTAATAAAGATCTGCTAGAATTGTCCACTTGATAAGCGAACGAAAATTTAGAATACATATGTAAAAAAGAATTAGGAACTATTTAGGTTAGAAAAAGAATTATGAATTCTAATACAATTTAAGATTTTTTTAGTAAAGGTATTAATAATTAGTAACATTTATTCCCTTATAACAATAAGTAAAACCTAACACGAATCCACTTAACCACAAATTACTGTGCAATCGTCCACTGTGCAGATGCCCTCTGTGCAAAAGTCTTACTGTGCAAATGGATCACTGTGCCCGAGTCGTGTCACCTAGAAATATACCCCTCTAACAAATTTACACCTGCATTTGTTGTTGTTTATGCATTTTCTGTTTCCCCAAAGCCCCAATACTTTCGTCTGTCGAAGATTCCCCAATACTAGTCAATACTTGTGCTGACCCAGTAGCGTTACTCGAAAGAAATTTATTGATATCTTTTTCTTCTTTATTTAAAAATTGTTGATTCTGATTTTCTATTGAACGATCTAATAAACGCATACGAAGAGAACCTCCACCTCCAAATGCGTGGAATGGGGTTATATTACTTCCTCCAATTAATTGTTGGCTAGTTGTTGTGGTGGTGGTGCCTGCACGGGAAACTGGTGGTAAGGAATTTGTTTGTATTGTGCGTAGTTTGTCAACTAATTTCTGAAAATACAAAAATAACGGAAAATACAAAAATTACGGAATTTCAAAAATTACAGAAAATACAAAAATTACGGAAAACACAAAAATTAAGGAAAATACAAAAATTACGGAAAACACAAAAATTAAGGAAAACACAAAAATTACGGAAAACACAAAAATTAAGGAAAATACAAAAATTACGGAAAACACAAAAATTAAGGAAAACACAAAAATTACGGAAAACACAAAAATTAAGGAAAATACAAAAATTTCGGAAAACACAAAAATTAAGGAAAACACAAAAATTACGGAAAACACAAAAATTACGGAAAACACAAAAATTACGGAAAAATACAAAAATTACGGAAATACAAAAATTACGGAAAACACAAAAATTACGGAAAAATACAAAAATTACGGAAATACAAAAATTACGGAAAAATACAAAAATTACGGAAAATACAAAAATTAAGGAAAATACAAAATTCTGATTTAATTTTCGGAAAGAAAATACATAGATATGTATTTCAGAATTAAAATAATTATAATTCTGAAATTTAAAAACACATTATTCTGACTAACCAGAAAAAAATATTACTTTCCGGAAAATACATTTTCAGAATAAAATAAACAACTTATTCTGATTTTCCATAACAGAAATACATTTTTCCGTTCCGGAAATAAAACACAATTAAAAATTAACACACGCTTCTTTTCCAAAAAATAAAATACATTTATTTCTGATTTATACTTTTTTCTGATTTAAATTCCCTCACCTTTCTAAAGCTAGCTTTGTAAACACCAGCCCCACTCTCTAAACTAGCAAGTCCCCCATCACCTCTCGCAGAATCAGAATCACCAGATATTGTGTTTAGAAACTGTCCACTAGCCGACTCAAATTCTTTAGAGCGGCCAGCAATAAAAAAAGTTTTCATTTCCTTATGGGGAGCACCCTAAATAAAAATCAGAATTTTTCAGCAAAAATTTATTTTTCAATTTACTTCTTCTAAAATATAAGCATCATCCAAATAGTCAGCAGTTTTTTCACTGATATGAACTCTGCCAGCAACCCCAGTAGATTCCATTTCGTTAGCAAGGGTTACATCGTTGGAAAATACATCGAATTTGAAACGGCGAGTGCCAACCATTCCACACATTACCTTGAAAAATAATAAAATTCTGATTCAATTCTGATTTTAAGAATCAGAATATTCTGTACCTTTCCAGTATGTATTCCAACCCTCATATTAACTGCCTGTCCTCTATCCAAATCAAATTGTCTAATAGCTATAATCATTGCCAACCCCATTTCAACACAACATTTGGCATGATCTGCCCTAGGCTCTGGGCAACCAGCAACACAATAATAACAATCTCCAAGTGTGCTAATCTTTTCCAAACAACACCTCCCACACAAATAATCAAAACGGCCAAATAAATCATTTAGTAAATTGACTAATTCATCGGCTGATTTATTCGAGGCCATTTTTGTGAAGCCTGCAATGTCAGCAAAAAGTATTGAAACATCACTCATTAAATTCATTGTGAAAGGGCGGAATTTGCGAACACCTGTAGATTGAAAATTAAATTTTGAAGCAAAAAAAATGAAGCAAAAATGAAAGTTGTAGCAAAAAATATTTTTATGTTCAATTTCTTAAATTTTTTAAATAAATGAATGAAATATTGCTTACCGCCCCCAGATGAAGATAACCTTCCATTTGGTCCAGGCATAAGACCTCCTCCACTTGTAGATTCCCCAGCTGCACTAGAACGCCCACCTCCACCAACTGTTGCATTTGAAGTTCGGCAATTTGAATGGGATTCTAACGAAGCAGATGGACGACGTAATTCACTTGTTTCTTTTAACAATTCATCAGCTACCTAGAAAAGAATAAAAATTAGAAAAGTGAAACTTGAAAATATTTTTAAAGAAAAAGGTGAAGCAAAAACAAAAAAATTGAAGCAAAAAAGGTGAAGCAAAACTTAGAAAAATGAAACAAAAAAATGAAGCAAAACAAGAACAGTGAACTAAAAAGGTGAAGCAAAAACAAAAAAGTGAAGCAATTTCAAAGAAGTCACCTTCTTAGGCATAACAGACTGAATCATATGATCTTTAAATTGTGTTTCCAATTCCAAATCTTTCCTTGCCAATAATGATTGCCCAACTTTGAGAAATGTTTTGCGTTGTCTAACTTGTGTGAGTATATAAAGGTGTATTCCAAGTAAATGAATACATAAATGAATTGCTGTTTTTGTTCCAGTTCGAAAATGAACAACACCTAACAATAAACTTGAAGCAAATTTATTTTATTTTTAAAAAATTGAAACAAGTTTCTTTCTTAAATCTTTCTCAAAACCTGAAGCAAGTTTTAAAAATAATAAAAACCTAATAAAACTTGAAGCAAGTTTTGAAAAGAAAGTTTCAAGTTTAATAAAACATGAAACAAAGCTTTTAGATAAGAAGCAGGTTTATTTTCAAGATTAAAAAATTAATTTTTATAAAATTTTGCCTGTAGATGTAGCAGGAGATGGAGCTGCTAACAGTTCAAAAAAGAATGAATAAAATCCACAAGAGATAATACAAAGATATAAGGGGAATGGAATGACTGCATAAACGAGTAGAATAACCTAGAAAGATTTTTAAAATTATAAAAAAATATTTAAAGAATGCCTGCATAGAAGTAGCCATACTAGCTATTGGCCCCATAAAAGTTTCGGCACTTGAACAAATAAACAAAGTTGTTAGACACAAAAGAAAGGTACACAAAAATGAAGTTGGGAGATAAAAACGGCGATAATGGGGTGAACATGAAGCAAACCACAACATTAAACCAAAAAGGAGACAAAGGAGGGAGGCGATTAACTATAATAATTTTTAAAATAAAACTTTGAATGACCGCCTATTATAATGGAATAATTTTTATTTTTCGAAGCAAACATTGCCTCTAATTTTTTTTAATATGAAGCAGATTCCCTATAAACCTGCTTCAAGGGGAATGGAAGTTAAGTTAAAAAATAAACAGAAGCAAGTTTTACGAAAAAATGATCTAAACTTGAAACAGGCTTTTGCTTACAACTTGCTTTAAGTTTAAAAACAAAGCAGAATATTGGAAGCATTTGCTTCAGGTTAGTTAAAATCAAAAGCATCATGAAGCAGGTTTTAGGACAAGTTTGCTTCAAGTTTGAATAATTAGACTTGAAGCAGGTTTATTTACAGGAAATTTGCTTCATGTTAAAAAAACTTGAAGCAAGGTTTGCTTCAAAAAAACTAGAAGCACATTTTTATTTAATATTTCCATTAATTTAATAAAATACCCAATGAAAAAGCTGTGTTTGATTGAATATCCAAAGAAATAGTAACCAACTTAAACAACAAATAAGAATATATAAAAGTCCTGAACGGAATCGATCTCTCAGTAAAGGGAAAGAACATTTCCAATATTGAGTTTCTAATGTAGGTGAAGCAAATTGGGGATTCCACCTTTTTAGAAAAAATTATTTTTTTAATAAAAACAGGAAAATAAACCATCTAGCTGAAGCTCTCTCAAATAATGGAATCCTCCGTGGACTAGAAGAGCGTGCTCTAACCTGTTTTAATAATTATTTAAATTGTGAAACTTTTTAATTAAATCAGGTTTAAAAAGGTGAAGCAAGTTTCTAGTTAATATTAAAATTTCAAGTTTTGCTTCAAGTTTTGAATAAAAAGCTTCAACTTCAATAAATTGTGTTTCAAGTTTTTTATAATTCATGTTTTTTAATTTTTAAATGTGAAGCAAGTTTATTCTTTTCAAATTCAAGTATTCAGTAAATTTATTTCAATTTTTAAGTCTTAAAAATACAAATGTGAAGCATTTAATTTCTAGTGAAGTTTTAAATAAAAGTCAGTTTTTAATTTTAAAAAAATAATTGAAGCAAATTGAACTGCTTTCAAAATATAAAAACATGAAGCAAATTTTAATTATGCTTCCTATATTTTTTCTAAAAATCGAAGCAATTACTCATCGATTTTTTAAATTTTTATTTTGCTTCACAATTCTATAAAAAATTTTTTTATAATCAAAACCTCAACACAAGCAGTGTTTCTACCACCACTAGACCCATTAGCTTGTAGCTGGGGAGGAAGAAATTCATTTTCCCCTTTAGAAGCATTTAATATAGCATTGGCCAATCGATTTTCGTCACGTTTTTCAAGCATTGCATCAGTTTCGATTGGCTCTACGGGGCTACTATTAGCTTCTTCTTTTACATTTTTTTCTTTTAATAATTTATTTTTATGAGATTTGGAAGCAGAAGCATCTCTTTGTAAAATTTTAGCTTCACTCATGATCAAAAATTTTAGAAAATAATTAAAAGAAAAGTGAAGATTCTGAATCTCATTTTAATTAAATTTAAGAGATTATACTAAAATAAAATATTAATTTAATATTATTTTAAAAAAATATTAAGGAAAAACTAATAATTTCAAAATTTTTCTTCAGACACTGAATTTTCGCGTTGAAACAGCTTGTATATAAAATTTCCATAAGGGAATAATTAATCAGAATTATTAAATCAGAATTAAATTTGGATTAAAAAATTAGAAAAATAGTAGGTAATATCAGAATAAGATTAAAACAAATCGGAACAACATTAGGAAACAATTAAATTAAATCAGAAAAACATCAATATTTTAAATCAGAAACCATAATAAACATTAATAAAACCAGAATTAATTTACAACATAAACCAAACAACAAAAACCAGAATTAAATAAAAACATTTTCAGAATTAAACAAAAACATTTTCAGAATTACATAAAAACAATCAGAATTAAATAAAAACATTTTCAGAATTTAATAAAAACAATCAAAATTTAATAAAAACATTTTCAGAATTACATAAAAACAATCAGAATTTAATAAAAACAATCAGAATTTAATTTAAACAGAATCAATAAACATTCTCTTCTCTTAAAATATGTTCGTCACTTCCTTTAACAAAAGAAAAAAAAAGCTTAAAAGAACACTAATTTTAAACAAACTTTAATAAAAACATTCTGACGGGTAATAAACCACAAAAGAAAAGTACACTTCATTTAATTTTGTTTTCAACAAAATTTAAAAAAAAAAAGAAATTTATGTTTTGTTATAATTATAATTGTTATTTGTATATACATAGAGTATTTTTGGACACATGGCGCTAATGTAAATATAGAGGTTAAGCTAAGAAAAGAGAAAGAAAGAGAGGAGGTGTTTTAGTGTTGAACAAAAAGAAGAAGCCTTTTCTTTTTGAGGCTAGACAAAATTGCGGACAAAAATCTGCAAAAAAATATTTGCAGACAAAACTAAAGCCTATTGAAATTGGAATATTATAATGGCCAATGGGTCTTGCCCATGTTATCCTTTAATTAAACATTCTGGACCTCGTATTTAAATACCCCAAAAATTGGATAAACCTCAATTTTAGACACCGTAAATATCTAATAGAAGCCCTGAGCGGGACACGCCCAGAACGGCGCACGGCCATAACGGCGCAAAGCCATAACTTGCTTTAAGATTTCTTAATCCTTCCAGATTTAGTATCAACCAATTCCTCTCATTGAGCTAGTGAGATTGGCACCAAAATTGACAAGGGCCAGACATTTTCCAAGCGCCGTTATGGCCGCGCGCCATTTTGGGCTGTACCCGCCCGGGGCTTCCATTTTTCAATACCCTCATGAGTGGGCTTCTAATAGGGCAAGGGCTTCTATTAGAGATGGGTTTCTATTAGTACATTTTGGTTGGTCATTTATGGGGGAATTGCTCAAACGTAATACCTTCAATTTAATACCCTCCCTCATTTTTAAAAACACCATTTTCGCCCCCTTGGGGTATATAAAATCGAGGTAATCCGCAAATGTTCTACCAATTTTTAAAGCTTTTTCTTTTATTTTTAAAGCCAAATTGGAAAGAGAAAATTGGTGCAAAAACGGAAAGATAAAAAATAAAAGAAAGGAAGGAAGAGTAAAGCCAAAACAATTTTTATTTGTGCCATTCAAAGTTAAAAAACCCTCTAAACACATTTAGCAAGGATTATTCTTAATTTAAATTTGAGCTATTTTTTAAATTATCCAAATATTTTTCTATTTAAAAATTTGCTTCAGAACTTCACTTTCAACATTTTTTCTTCTAAAATATTTAAAAAAACACATCGAATACATAATGTAGAAAATACGAGTACTCGAAATCAACAAATTTTAGAAAGCTGATCTTGGGTTAAAAACCTCTAATAATTTTCAATGTATACCTAATTTAATTTCGTAATTATTATATTCCAATTATATGTATTCCCACACACATTTTATTGTAATACGTTTTCTAGATGTGGATTACCACGTGGTTGAAGAGAGGGTAGGGAATGCCTAAGCCATACGTTTAGTTAATGTGTAAATTTTTGGTGTCAGTCAGAGTTTTAATTATAAAATTTATTATTAACTGATAATTAAATACACGTACATAATACGGGTACAACCCTATGTACCACGAGCCCAATGTACCGCCGAGCCTTGGTATAGTTCGATTCAGCTGGTTGAGCCGCATCGAACCATACAAGGGCGTCCCAGATTCGACAATTTTGAAGAAAGTTATAGCTCGGCGGTACATTGGACTCGCGGAACTCTGGCCTGCTCCCACATAATACATACTATAAATCCAAAAAATTTAATTATACATATTTTTATACTACTATTATGAAATTACAGTATTATTTTTTTACATTAAAAATTACTTTAATAGTTCCCAATTTAAGCTCTAAAAGATTTTAGACTTTATAAAAAATTTTTTACTTCTTAAAAGTTAATCTTCAAGATACATTTTCTCTCCTTCATTTTCTTTTAAATCCCCATTCAATTACATTTTCCACCAACACAACTATGGCTACAACAAGGTCCATTTCTACAATCCCCACCTTTTCCCAGACATTTTGTGCATTTACTTCTAAAGCAATAATAATTATCACCACAACAATTTGAAGCGACTATTGCATTTATATCACATGTACTTCTAGGTTTAAGACAATTCTGAGCTAATAAACCCTGAAATATAAACATAGTGACGAATAAATAACAAAATAATATTTTTTGGATGTTTCCAGTTGATTTGAAGTAGAACATTTTTAATTTTTTTTTTGAAATAATTCTATAAAAAATATAAATTTAAAAAGAAATAGGTAAAAGTTTGTGAGGTGAAGTATAGAAAAACGTTCGAATTGGCAGGAAATGTGTTATTTACTCAGATGATGGATAAGGTTGTCGGATAGTTAGAAATCTTCGGATATCCGGATCCGGTATCCGAACCGAAGATTTTTGGATATCCGGTGTTTTTTCAGTTCCGGATATCCGGATCCGACAACCATATTGATGGAAGATGCAGTAGAATTTATATCCAAGAAAAAAGTTTAGATCGACAATCAAACAAGATGCTGGAGTATTTTTAATTATTCATATTATTATTTTTGAAGGTTAACACAACATTTGCCTAGATCTCTTTATCCCAATTTCACTCGAATATTCTAGCTATAGGGAAGAGTAAATCCCTTTAAAATGTTTTAGACGTGAAGATTTAAAGTTTAATGTATAGCAAGTATATCCGAGAAAATCTAAGGAGATAGGGCAGCTAATCCGAAAAATTAAGCAAATAACTATTGCATTTTGGCACGGTTATTGGACCCTTAGATATAGATTAAATAATCAACAACTATATTTCTGGTAGGGCTTAAGAGGATTTAGGCTAATACTGGAGGGTATAATTTTGATAATTTTTTGAGGATATTTAATACATAATTATTATATTTTAAAATAATTTTAATTAATGTTTATAGAAATTAAATTCTAAGCTTTTAAGTACCCCAAAATTTTTATTAGAAATTTATTTGTTTAAATGTTAAAAAAATTAAAAATTAAAAGTCAAATATTAAAAAAAATTTTTTTTAAATAAATTCCCAATAAATTATTTTTTAATTTAATATAATAGATTAAAAACTAAAAATCATTTTATTTAAAAAATAGATTTAATAATTTGAATTAGTGGGGTAATCACAGAAATTATCTCAATTAAAATTATCTTAATTAAATATTTATGGCTCTACTCCAGATTATGCGTCCAATGAAGTTTATGAGTCCAATCAAAAAATAATTGGATTTTTCTTGGTATTGCAAAGTAGGGGTACGGTTCCAAAACATTTCTTCATGTTCGGGACGTACACTCACTGGGTCTCGCTGGGTCTCAAAGATTCTAAACAAACAAAATAATATCTTTTTTATGAATTAAAAATTGGCCAAAACTAAAAATGGAAGCCAAAATGACCAAAAGCCAAAATTCCGCGCCAGCAGGAGCCAAAAATATATTTAAACAAGGATTTATTAGAGTTTGTGAAGACGGCTTAACAAATGCATAATATAATATAATTTTGCTGACGTAAATGAATTGAATAAAATTATTTTAAATATTTAATTAATTATTTTACTTAATATATTTAAAAAATTTAAAACACATTTGGTTTCCAATCCTCTAGTAAACCACATTTTCTTTTACTTGATTAGTGATGGTGCTTTTATTTTTCAATGCAGAGTGTGGTCCTATTAAAGAATCTACTGTATTTATTTTTTAGCATTTACGATATTTTTTGCAAACCTGAATTAGAATCCTCTATCAACGTTTATTTCCTGGTAGTGTGTTCGGCTAAGTCTAGTTTTTTAGTCCAATGAAAGTTTATTAGTCCATTCGAAGTTTATGAGTCAAATCAAAAGTTTTATGAGCCCAAACATAGTGATAACGTTGTCGGTTCCTGGAAATTCTTCGGATATCCGAAACTTACCCGAACCGAAAAATCCTCAGTTTTTCGGTTCGGTCCAGGCAATATTAAGAAAAATCCAATTACTCTTTGATTGGACGCATAAAGTTTCATTGTACTCATAAACTTTCATTGGACGGATAAAAGTCTATTGGACGCATAAATTGGAGTATGTATGTATATGCTATTAAAAAAATTTTTTTTTGAATTTCACAGAACTCTGGAAAATTAATTTATGTACATACTAAATTAAAAAAATATTTTTAAAAATATTTCCAAATATATTTGATAATTTTAATAATATAAAAATTTATTGAACTTAGTATATTTTATTTGCTTAATTAATTATAAATATATTACAATAATTATTTTTCTTTTTTTCACAAATATTTTTAATTTAATTTAATCTTCTTCATTAATTTCTTTAATAATTTTCTCATAAATTTCCTTTGCTGCATCCTGACCCCAAATAAAATCTAAATGGTTAAAATTGGGTAACTCCTTTGCTAATTTAATATTTTCTTGGGGAATTTGTTGAAGAATTGTTTCCTTTTAAAAAATTAATTATCTTTCAATATTTTTCAATACCTCAACATCTTTTTTAGTTGCCAACCAATCTGCCTCACTATAGTACAAATAAATGGGGATATTTGCTATATTAGTCAAATTGTAGAGTGGTGGTGTGTTCTGAATGAATAAATATAGTAAGAGAGACCTCTCTGTGGATCTCCTCTATTTTGTAGACCCTCACTTTTAAGTAAACTTCTTACTTAATCTGGGTGAGTACGGTTACAGGTTATCTAAGGGCTAAAAGATACCCTGATACTCCCAAGCATAATGAAAGCTTTTTCAATCCTAAGGATGTACACTAACAAATAAGGTTGGCGGATTCTGGGAAATCCCCAGATATCCAAAGCCGATTTCCGAACCGAAGATTTCAGGATATCCTTTTTTCGGAGTGTACAAATAAGTGAGGTCTAACTATATTTTTAAAATTAGTAAATTTTAAATTATTTTTTACTTGTCCATAATGTTTCTGATTTGCCCTTTTCGACCCGTAATTAAATTTTTGCATTAAACCAGAATGATGCATTTGAGCCTAGTATTTTTAGATTTATTTTTAAAATTACTTTTATTTATTTACCCAATGAGCAATATTTCTTGTTGAAGTTCCTGCAGGTGCATGAGTTGAGTAAACTGTTACACGAGTCTTGAAATTTAGAAAATCAGTAGTTATTAGTGGAAAAAAACAAATTGGCATAGCACAGATTTACAGCAGCGATGGGCCGGGTTATCCGGAATCCGATACACGATCCAAATAATTTTCGAAATCCCGATCCGAAATCCTTCCGAAATTTATTTCTAGACGGCTCTTCCCTCCTTTACAGCACTGTCATTAGAGTTGTGGCGCTGCCTCCTTCCGTGGTGCTGTCTCCCCGAAAATTTATCCCCGTGGCCTTCCCCCCGTCGGGGAGCAACCCTTACTTTCATGTAAAGCAAGTCTCCTCTATTTAGGTATATATTTCTCCAAATATCAATACCTGATTCATCTGTTTACTATCAGTTCCACCAATTAAAAACATAATATTTTTACAATTTGGTTTTTGCCAATTTGCACCGCAAAGGGTTCGGGCAATTTGCTGTGTTACAAAATTACTTGGAAGAAATTCATTTGAACCAAAATGTCTATTCAGAATTTCCAGTTGAATACCAAACAATTTTCCTGATATATCAATTAATCCTTTAATGTACTTTATTGTGGCAACAGGTGCTAAGGCATAAAATCTGCTAATCTATTAACAAAAAAATAGGGGGAGGGGATTAATTAACAAAAAACTTTATCAACAAATTCTCGATTGTTATTAGACAATTGTGCAAACATAATTAAAGTTCCTTGACTGTGTCCAACATAATATAATTTTGACTGTCCGCTAACTTCCAAAGCTTTATTTATCATTGCCGGCAAATCTATGGAGGACATCTTGTCCCAAGTAAAATCCCAGTATTTATCGTCTAGTCGTGAAAGTTTTTCGTGATCTTTCGAGTAAAGATTCCCTCTCATATTTCCCATCCAAACATCGAATCCGGCATCTGCCAACAAAAATGCTAGCGATTGGTGGGGCAAATTGGATACCTATTTATAGGGAAATTATTAATTAGAAATATAAAGATGGGTGGGTCATTTGTGAATAGTTAATGGAACTCAATCTCCTCGGAGAAAAATACGATGAGAGTTGACCTACAAGAAAGTTCAACTATACTTTTAGATTTTAAGACATGTTATATTGTAAGGACAATTCACCTAGCAGCATTTAAAACGCGTAGGCAGGGATTAAACGATCTAAAAGGATAAAGAAAAGCATTAGTCGATGCCCCGGTAGCCTCGATGCCCTGTATTTGTTTGAGACAGGCCGAGCGAGCACTGTCAGCGTTGTTGCAGGATCTAATCCTGCCCGGTGGCTAAACTTTGCTAAACTCTTTCTATATTATGATTTATGGTGTTTCTTTTGATGTAAAAAAGGAGGGGGGGTTGTTAATATAGATGGGTAAGTGAATTGTAGAAGGGAACTTATGAAGAAAAATTAGAATTGGAGGAAATTGGTGTCCCGAATTTTGAATCTAGAAGGTCAAGTTCCTTAAGTATAGTCCAAACAAGCAAACTCTTACCAATCAAAACTGGAAGCCCTTCTTTTAAAGTAAAAAGGGGGAGGGGGTTTTTAATATACATAGATGGGTTGATGTATTATAGAAGGGAAACTTATGAAGAAAAATCAGAAATAATTGGAGGAAATTGGTGTCCAGAAACTTGTCTTGGAAGGTCAAGTTCCTTAAGTATAGTCCAAACAAGCAAACTCTTACCCAATCAAAACTGGAGGACAACAATCCGTGCTGGGCAAAAACTACTTTTTTAGGCTTTTTCTGTTCTGTTTCATTAAAATTCCGGCCAAAAGGGATTCTATGCATTTCCAAAATATATCCATCTTCTGTTATAACTTTGTGTATTTCACAAGTATATCCATAATATTTAATTATTCCTGGCTATTTTTAAATTAAAAAATATTTTTAAAATCCTATCTGACCACAGTTAAACGTTCTTCTGGTAATTCTTTTCTTAACGCTATTGGTTCTTGGGATAAGACAAACGAAGGATTTAAAATAAAAATTATTAAAGGAATTAAAAATAGATTAAACATTTTAATTATTTATTTATTTTGATGATACCCTTTAAATTAAAAAGAAGTGATTATTTTTTGTTTAAAAATTTAGCAGAAGAAAATTAGGAAAATTAAGGGTAAATATTGGGAGCAGGCCAGTGTACCGCCGAGCCCAATGTACCGCCGAGCTATAACTTTGTCAAAATTGTTGAATCCTTGGCGCCCTGGTATAAGCCCGATTCAGCTGATCGAGACGCGTTGAACAATTTCGAAGAAAGTTATAGCTCGGCGGTACATTGGGCTCGCGGTACATCGGGGTGTAATTTAAATATTTAAGCTTATTTTTTCTAGAATACATACTTTCAGCCGATCCTTGGGGCTGAAAAATTGTCTGAAAAAAGAACTGAAGTGTAATTGAATTTTAAGTTTTTGAAGGAAAAATATAAAAAAGTATATAGAAAAATCGAGATGTAAATGAATTATAGGTATCTTGTGGAGATTTATTGTTTACTCCCCAAATAGCCGAACAAATTAAAATATTTTACAAAAAATCTTGAATAGGAGTGTCGGTTCTTGGAAAATCTTCTGATATCCGAAACCGAACCGAAAACCCGAACCAAAAAATCATCGGTTCTTCGGTTCGATTAGGCCAGAACCGACAACCTAATCTGGAATTATTTTTGGTTAAACTTTTAAATATGAATTCCCTAACTATTGCCTACCCTTTATATAATAGAATTTTTTAAAGTATTTGTGTAGGAGGGGGGGGTATTTAAATTTTTAAATGTCATCCTTTTTAGAATAAGGAAGTAATTTTTAGCAAGAAATAACATTTAAATATTTTGTCTGAATTTTTTTATTTAATTCAAATTATTAGTCAAAAAGTTTATATATTATTCATTTTTATGCAATCGAATCTCGTTATTCAACTCAGTTTTTTGTATTTTTTAAAATGTGTTTGGTAACTGATTGGAAGGGAAATGTCGAAGCATTTTAATGTGCAACTTATTCTAGTCTAAAATTTCAAGTCCCCAAAGGACGGAAAACTATAAGTTCGGAAAAACTAAAATTTTCAAAAATTAATTTGGTACAATCTTCAGTTAAATTGTATCAATCAAAATACAAAAATCTAGAAAAAATAAAACATCTTCAATTAATTAAAGTCGAATGAATGATTGACAATTTAAGAAATTGTACAACTAAAGAAATTTAGGGGATTTTCTATTAAGGCTTTTTATAGATGTGTTATAGTAATTTAGGGTTTAGTACATATAATTGAATTAATTAAAGATAGACGAAAAAAATATACCTATTTCATTTAATTATTTTTATTCTTTTATATTACTTAGATATATTTCTTTAATTTTTATTTTCAAAATTAATTTCCTTGTTTGATAAAAACAAGGAAATATTTAAATTTACGTCTATTAAATATACTCAAAATCCATTCAATATCAATTTAAAATTAATTTAGACAATAGTTATTTATTTATATTTCTAAATAAAAACGAGGAAATAATTTGTTAACAAAATCTAAAAATGATAAACAAATATTAATCTAAATAATTTTATATAAATAATTTTTAATTATAAAATATTTTTAAGAAAAAAAATTTTTGTATTTTTTTTTGGATTTTAAACAATTAATTAAATATTTGAATTAAATTCACGGAATATTTTAGTCATAATTTATTATTTCTTTAATTAAATAGGCAATTTGGACAGACACGGAAATTGTCTACTAATGTAAGCATGTCGTCTAAGCAAGGTTTGTGAGAAATTGTTTAAATGAATTTAACTTTTTTGTTGATTATTTTCGGCTTGCCGAAATTGTTGATTTTATGGCGCAGTAATTGAAGATTTTGCAATGTCAAGCTGCCACAGAATGAAATCAGAAAAGGCTTTTAAAAATTTTGGAATATCCCGAAGGAGAGTTGATCCATATTTCAACCTCAAATTTTTATTAAAGTAATGTTTATTTTATTGAATTTATTTTATTTTGAATAAAAATATCAAATAGTTTTTGTGTTTGTTTATTAAATAATGTTGTAGTTTGTCCATATTAGTTTGCTGTATAGTTTGTCCAATCCGTAAACCCCTATTTTTTGGTGATGGATATTGGTGTCTGTAATTTACGAACTATTCATATTTTTGGCCTTCTAATGGTGAACTCTTAATAGCCAATGAGCATATATTAATTTATAAATAAAAAAATAAAGACAAATGATAGAATATTTGTTCCAAAAGTCTATAATACATATGTATATCTGAGGAGCTTTTTCAATTTCTTTTTCCCCCAATTATTCCGTCTCAGTTTCTTCGCAATCAATTGCTCATCTAAAGAGCGGTGGTACATGTGTCAATTGGTATATGATTTTGGATAATTCGGAGAAGGTCCTCATTATTTTGGATGCTTCGGCGAAGGATGCTTCCTCGTTAATTTTAGTTTAAGCTCAGTTCTAGTTATGAACAGACCTGGTCACGGATACTGATCTTGGTATACGCACCCGCATATTTACGGTGGATACAGACTGATACAGGCGGATATTCGGAGGCATTTTGATATTATCCATGGGCAGTTCTGGTTATGAATAACTTTTTTCTTTATTGACGAATATTTCAATCACCAAAAAACGCCAATCCTTCAATCCTTTTTTAGTTTACTTTATTTTATTAATAATTTTTCTTTTTTTTAAATTTTATTATTCTAAATTTTCACAAAAGCCACATAAAATTTACACAAACAAAATAATAAAAAGATTTTTGTTGTTAATTTTTGTCAGCCTAAAAATCAACAAAATATTTTTTTTGGTACACTTTTTTGTTTTTGCCAACATTTAGATTTAAAAAAGTTTTTAATTTGTGCTTGTTTAAAAATATTATAAAGAAAATAAAATGCAATAAAAACCCTAAAATAAAAAAATATAAAAATTTGTTTGTCAAATATTTAATTCATTAAATCGCCAACTTTGTTATATATTGTTGTGTATTTTAATCTAAAATTCATCATTTAATATATTTTATTTTAAAAATTAAACAAAATTTTTGTTTAAGCATTAAAAACCATCTAAAAAAATTTTTTAATAAAATTTTAAAATATTTTTTTGATTAAAACTAGGCTTGTTGGAGACCGGTTATTAACCTGTACCCCCGGTTTTCGGGTAATCTAAATTTTGGTTTTCGTGGTTTAAAAGCCAGTTTAAAAATATTTTTATTTTCAAAAAACCGGTTTTATTTTTGGGGATTTTTAAATAAAACCACTCATCTTCACAGATTTCCGGATTTCGGTTTTTCAAAATTCTCTAAAAACGGTTAAATTTCGGCAAAAAAATTTCAAAAATTCATGTTCAAACCGGTTGCCAACAACCCTATTTTTAATTTTAAAAACCATTAAAAAAATTTTTTTTAATTTTAAAATATATTTTTACAGATTACAAAAAATATATAAATTTTTTTATTCAAAAAAATGTCCTTCTTCTTCAATTCCAACAAAATATTTTTAATAACAATTTTTGTTATTTTTCTCACAGCTTTTTTATATTTCGAGGAAATCCAAGCATGTATTAAGAATGCTCCTGGTTATGAAAGACAATGTGATCCAGACAGAGGTGCTTATGATTGCTGTAAGGGAAAATGTACTAAAGAAAGTGGATGGTATTGTGTTTAAAAGAATGAAGCTAAAATTAAATTTAAAAGAGAATTAAATATATTTGGGGAAAAAATAAATAAATTATGGAAAATTTTAATTAATAATTTTTAAAATACTTGTTAAAATTGATAAATTTTAATTTCAATACAAAATTTAAATTTTGGTAAATATCTTGAATATTTATTTAATATGTATAGGTTGAGATTGTAAGGAAAAGAAAGATCCAGCTGGCTAGCATTTAAAACGCTCACTAGGCGGGGGTTTAAGATCTAATAAAAGAGAAGGTGAAAGCAGCGTCCCGGTAGCTCAGTTGGTAGAGCACATGTACCAGGAGCAATAACTGCCTCCTGGCAATAACTGCCAGGAGGTCGCAGGATCGAAGCCTGCCCGGGATTAAACTTTTACCTAGCTCTTCTAGATCTACATATTTGATAAAGATGAGTTTTGAATATTTTTAAATCTTAAATTTACGGATTGCTATGGGTAACTGAGTGACTTAACATAAAGTATTTAATTATGCCTGAACGATTGGATCTGGAATATAAAATTAATATTCGTTTCCCCTTGTATCAGTTTAAATTAGATAATTATAATATTCACGGGATATAAACATAATTTATTTCTTTAACTGCGTGGGGTTTTGTGGATTCATAAAATCCAACTTGTACACACTGTTAATTAATTTAACTCTTACCCCTATTTTTTGAGTTTTTCAAACTGAAATCGGAATGTGGCTTTTCTAGTTTATAATAAATTTATCTATCAATTTAGTTATTTATCAAAAAATCCACAAAAAATTTTCTCTGAACATATCTATCAATATCAATAAAAAATACAAAAATAACGAAGTTCTAATCTACTCCCGTCATCGAGATATCAAACCTAAGATTAAATTAAAGGTCTATAAAAAAATATTTTCGACCCCTTTATAGGTTGTATTAAATTTTCGTTTTCTACTTTTCTGAAAGCCCTTTAAATCTGCTATAAAACCACCAATTTTCATTTTTCGGAAATTTTTTTCCTTTGGGTTGTACTGGATTGAATTTTAAAGGTGTACAAAAGGTAATTTTAAGGGCAGATTTAAGGGCAGATTTTATGTCTGTGATGCCTAGCGAATTAAACTCTGAATAACATTCAAGCAAAATTTTTTGATATAAAGATTTCTTGTAGCATATTTAAAAGGCTTTCCGGTAAGTATGAAATGAAAATTTAATACAGCCTATGTTTAAAGAGCGTTTGAGAGTGAAAATTCCAGGAACCAAATCTGCCATCCCTTTTTTTATTAAAAAATTTTAAATTTTTATATTTTAAATTTACTCAAAAAATTAAATAATATAAGAATTTACGTTATTAATTTTAGCCAGATAAAAATGAAAATTTATTTCCTAGAGACTTTTTTAATTTTTGCCACCATTTAGCTTAAAAAAAGTTTTATTTTAATTTTTGTTTGTTTAAAAATATTAAATTTACGTCAAATGAGGAATTAAAAATTAAAATAAAATATTTTTTTAAAAAATTTTTAAAAATTTGTTTGTCCAATACTTAATTTATTAAATTAAAAATTTAGTATAAATTGATTTCAATTTTAGTTTAAAATTAATTATTTAATTTTTTAATTTAATATTTTATTTAAAAAAAATTATTAAACATTTATTTAATAAATTTACAATCTAAAATTAATTTTGTCAAATTAAGTAAAGCAGCTAGGCTATAAATATTTCTTTCTCCTTCAGCTAGTGTAAGCTAGTCGGCGGCTGAGAGCGAACCAGCATCTTCAGTAGACCGGACTGATGTGTTACCTATCCATTTACACCATCCGCCTTATGCTAAGCTTTAGCGATTAAAGTAAGAGCTTTCGCTCACCACCACGTACAGGTGCTCTACCAACTGAGCTTAAACTGGCTCTTAAACCCCCCCCCCCCCCCCCTAGTGAGCGTTTTAAACGCTAGCCAGCTGGATCTTTCTCTTCCTTACCTTAAATATGCTTTACTTACTGAGGATGCTGGTTCGCTCCCAGCCGCTGAATGCTTTACATTTACATGCTTTACATTTAATATTTTTTAGATTCAAATTAAAAAATGTTCTTCTTCTTCAATTCCAACAAAATATTTTTAATAACAATTTTTGTTATTTTTTTCTCATTTTCTGTATATTTTGAAGAAATCCAAGCATGTATTAAGGATGCCCCTGGCTATGAAAGAGTATGTGATCCAACAAGAGGTGCCACTAAATGCTGTTCGGGTAAATGTACTGCGGCAAGTGGTTGGAAATGTGTTTGAGGATTTGAAGAGGAAAAGGCTGAAGATATAACTGGAAATTAGCTTATTGAATATACGGCTAAAAATAAATATTTAAATTGAAAAAATAATTTAATTGGAAGAATTTTGGGATTTTAACTGGAATTTTTAAAATATTTAATATAAATTGATAAATTGATTAATTTCAATATATATTTTAAATTTCGGTAAATATATTCAGTAATTATTTAAAATTAAAGAGGATTTGGTGAATATGGTAGATATTTATTGTTATGAAGGATATTATCAAGAAATATTATCCTCCGTTTAGTATACCTCAGTCAAATGGTACATACATATATCGTTGGGTCTTCTTGAGCTTCACAAAAAATAATTTTATAAGAAGAAATAAAGCCCCCTTTGGGGAGGGGGCTTTATTTTAAAATAAGCCCCCTTCCCTCTTAATTCCCTCAAATCCCTCGATATTTCTCTAAATCCCTCTATATACACGTCATGTTAATCCTTCAAGATACCCTTCTGAACCCTCTATATCCCCATATGGGGATTCAACTGAGGGGATTAAATTATTAATCAACAATTACTCAAAAATTAAATATTTTTGGGAAGGGGGCTTATTTTACAAGGGGCTTATTTTAGATAAAATACGGTATATGAATAAATTTGAAATTTGAAGTTTTATAAGGTATAAGGCTCTATAATTATTAAACAAATAAAATTTAATTTTTATTTATTAATTTTTTAATTTAGATGAATTAATTTAATTATTTGCATAATTAAATAAATATAAAAATTAATTGAGTTGGATTTTTTGCTTTCAATAGAATTAAACGAAAAAATAGCGCTGACGTTATAATATGCAGTAAGAAACTAAAAAAATACCTAATATGTACTTTTACGAAGAATATGAATGAACAAAAATAGCTCATCATCGGATTTAGTTTGCGGCACAGTCGTTGTACTTCGGCCTGAAAATCATTCCTTGATGGTCCTATTCGATCGACCATCCGATGAATTTTCCCTCTAATAACAGCCCTGATCCACCGCCCTGATCCATATTCCTGGCCTTCTAGTGTTGATTATTAATTTATGAATAAAATAAATAAAACAAAGCATAGAATACCCATCCCAAAAGGTTTCCACAATAGAGTTGATCCACAATAGAGTTCGCAAATTTCTCCTCCAAAGAGTGCTACAAGTTGTCTAAGCTCGATGAAGCGTGTATAATTCGTGAGGATTCGAACAGGTACACCCCAACGTACCGCACTGGGACGCCCTGAGACACACCGCACCGCACTGGGACGCCCTGAGATGCATCGAAACATACCAAGGCTTCCCGGATTCGACTTTTTTAAACAAAGTTAGAGCACTGCGGTAAGTTGGGCTTGCGGTACGTTGGCCCGCTCCCGATTCGAATTAATCTAGTCTATAGTTATAATTGACTTTTTCCTTTATAACGAATATATTCTAATTAAGAGGAAAGTTTGGGAGGTGAGAATTCCGTATACTAAATCTGCAATCCTTTTTTTAATTAAAAATTTTAATATTTTTTCATTTTAAATTTAAACAAAAAAAATTAACTAAAAAATTAAAAAATTAACTAATTTAACTATAAATTTAAACCATATAAACATATAAATCTTACATACAAATCATACATTCAATACATAAAATAATAAATATAAAAATTTACGTTATTAATTTTTGCCAGTTTAAAAATCAAAAAAATATTTCATAAACTTTTTTTTAATTTTACCGCTATTTAGCTCAGAAAAAAAAATTCTTTTTAAATTTTTGTTTGTTTAAAAATATTAAATTTGCGTAAAATGGAGGATTCAAAAATTAAAATAAATTATTTTTTTAAAAAAATTTTAAAAATTTGTTTGCCAAGTAGTTAATTCATTAAATTAAAAATTTTGTATAAATTGATTTAGGTATATTTTAGTTTATAATTCATTATTTAATTTTTTTAAATTTAATTTAATATTTTATTTAAAAAAATTGTTAAATATTTATTTAAATAATTTCACAATCTAAAATTAATTTTTGGAAAATTTAAAACCATTTTTTTTAGTTTTTAATTTAACTGAAGCAGCCGAGCTTGAGCAAATGTTATTCGACGGCTGGGAGGGAACCAGTATCTTCAGTAGACCGGACTGATGTGTTTGTTAGCCGTTTACACCATCCGCCTTATGCTTAGCTTTAGGGATTAAGTAAGAGCGAGGTAAAAGTATCAATCCCGGGCAGGCTTTGATCCTGCGACCTCCTGGCAATTATTACTAAGCGTTTTCGCTCACCACGTACAGGTGCTCTACCAACTGAGCTTAAACTAGCTCTTAAACCCCTGCCTAGTGAGCGTTTTAAATGCTAGCCAGCTGGATTTTTCTCTTCCTTACATTAAATATGCTTTATTACTGAAGATGCTGGTTCCCTTTCAGCCGCCAAATGCTTTACATTTACATGCTTTACATTATATGCTTTATAAGTAGGGTTTGACCCCGACCCCGTACCCCGAACCCCGACCCCGTTCCCGAACGATTTTTTCACGATTCTCTCCGACCCGAACCCCGCCCCGAAAAAAAGTGAAAACCCCGTACCCCGACCCGAAAAGTTTCGGGGTTTTATATACCAAAAAATGCCATTTTTGGGATGGCGCGGCGCAAAAAAAAACGAAAAAATCTGACTTCTTCGCCTTATAAAATTCTCAAAATTTTGCCTGCGGCGCAGAAAAGAAAGAGTTACCCTGATATCCTCCAAATCCCTAATCACTCGATAACCCTTAAATCAATGATATCCCTTGAAACTACCCTTAGTCCCTACAAATCCTCTTATATCCCCAGATATCCGCTTTAATCCCTCCAAATCCTCCTTAATCACCTCCACCAGATCCAATTAATCACTCCAATTTCTCTTATTTCCATTTAATACCACCTTATTCTCATTAATTTATGAAAATAGAACGAAAATAGACCCAAATTGGCTCATTTTTAGAGCATTTTTTCTTTAAAAAATTTTTTCCTAAACCCCCGTACCCCGACCCGAACCCCGACCATATTTTGCTCCCCCGACCCGAACCCCGCCCCGAAACAATTCGAAAACCCCGTACCCCGACATACCCGCCCCCGAGCGTTCGGGGTCAA